CCACGCATTAATGTGATTTCAACCACTTTTCCAACGTGGTTCAAAATCATGATCGATGATAAACTCGCTTATAGACACATGGCTTTGCTTTTATTAAGGGGTTTTAATAAGACAAATAAAAACATACGAGTTACTAATTAACTTAATTTCTAGAACAGCAAAAAATACGTAATAATCAAGCTGTTCAAACTCTTGCCATAACGAAAAGGAGTAACGTGGAAAAAATAATTTGCTAACTATGTTGGTGACAGCAAATGACTCGAATGTTATTCAAAATTCGTGCTTTTTCTTTTGGAAGGCTGCAAATTTGTTGATCTACGAACGACTGTTTTAGACACATTTCCAACTCTCGTTTTGGTTCCCCAAAAAAGCCCAGAGCAAGAACTGGAAATTGATAATGATTTTAATATATTACCGGTATTTTAATACACAATAACAGAAGACGTACGATTGTGTCAACAAAGTATAGTAATGATAACCCGGAAATAGAGAAACAAGTTCTCAGTCATATGCAGAACGTGATTGTTGCAGATCTTGACCCCTATACAACTGCACATTTTCACTGTTTGTTGTACGTAGATGCAATGTTTCTTACTCTGCACGTTTAATATTTGCATTCCTCTTTACAAAAAAGAAATCATAATAAGATCTTTTACATTATTCCTGGTTATTTACCATGCGCAAACACGAGATTGTAACATGATCAGCCAATCATAATCTCACCAAACATTCAGCTGCGAAAGTATTCATTATTCCCAGTTCTCAAATTTGAGTTTGGACTAATTCCAGCGGAACATGTGAGGATGTAGAATTTTATTTCATTAGTATTGCCCAACTGAATTGCCTTATCCGTCCTCGGGATTATTAATTAAAAATTATCTGAAACGGTTATATGCGACAATATGTGCATAGGAAATAAAGTTTTGCCGAATTTGTCGGCTAAAAGCTCGAACCTATTTGTGACCTTTGCGAGTGCTAAATGATGAGTGTTGACAGCGTATGTCGCCATTTCTTTTGTAATGAACATTTCCTTGTCATTTTTAATGAAAATGATATTGACGTTGGATCCTGGCATTCATTACCAGACATGCATCGATCTCTGACGTATTTGAATATGCTGCACACAAGCTATTAGTAATGACTTGTTTCAGATGGTTCAAGATCTTCCGTCAATCTGTGATGATGATCTTCTCTTTCCGTAGTCCCAAGCGAGAAAGTTTTGCCAGAGTAATAAAAGAGGTTTCTAAAATCGGTTTATTGTGAGTTTGTGGATTATGATCCGTTTGTTACACGGGATAAACATAAACAATGATAGCGATCGAGAAAGACAATACCGCATTTCTTTTTGACATGATCTTGGAAGGGCAAGTTATCTGCTGCAGTTGACACTGAATGCCGAGATAATGCCACACGTACAATGTCTATCCATTTTATTATCTGACTAACGATTAATCAGGCTCGTGCTCTTATATTGGATGTGATATATCGCTCATCCCCGAACATGGGGCTAACCAGTGGTTTTTTTTCCCAGAATAACTTTTGATTGCGGTTCCATCGCTGCAGGATGCAGTCAGCTGAAGTAGCTTATCTAATAGAAAATGTTACTCAAATTATCTTGTGAAATCGATGGCATCGACTTGGGGAAAACGAGCTTTAAAAACTTATTGCCCGCGAATGGCGATGTGTGTATTGATCGCCACCCTTCAATACTTAAAGATTTTATAGTTAGAGTTTATTTTGTTGTGCAACAATAAATGCCTTGACATTTGTTCGTCAAAGGTTGAATTAAAGAAGAATCGAATTTAAAGCCGTAGATTCTTTCGGAAATAGCCGCTTTCCCTGGGAACAGAAAATAAATTTACGCTGTAATCTTTGATGTGTAATCTGTAACACGCTCTCTATGCATACCCTAAATTTCTTGACGATCACTCCTATTATTGTGCCTTGTCCTCGCAACGTGCTCGTATCATTCCAAATATAGTAAATCCAATTTTACAAGGACAAAAATAAACAAAACGGAAAGGATAGCCCAAGAGGCATTTTGTTATTTATTAGTTTAGCATGTAATTTCGGAGAAACAAATTACAAAAACGTAAGTGAATTGAGTGCTTTAAAATAGATAAGGGGCTGAGGCTCGGGGGGGAAAAGTGAGTGTTTCGTGTTGAAGAGAAATTGTTCAGGGATATTGTAATTAAGAACAATGACAACAGAGTGACACATCTGAGGTCATAAATTACGCTTTATCTTTTTCCTCGAAACACAAAGGAATCGTAATTTGACAAATAACCTTCAGGAAATGAACAATAACACTTAGTACTATAAATAGTTTAATATAGACTCTTTGAATACACTATTTCCTTCTTCGTAATAAATTACAATTTAGTGGGTTAATTATATAGAAACTATTTCTGCATCACAAGGAACGTACAAAGGTAAACAATCAAAGACGTTCTGGCCTGCATAATTCTCGTGGAATGTGTTACGTGGTACCTCCTCTATGGCTATATTATGGCTCCTGAAACCACACAATTCGCTCTACTCAATTTCATCTTTTCAGCTTTTTTCAACCATCATATCAAAACGCATAACATAGCCATGACATCGCTTCAACAAACACCGCAACAACCGCAGCCTATAGTGCAGCACCAGTCTTCCACTCATATGATGAAGACTACACGCTCGGGACGGCCTTTTGCAAAGGTTAGATCAAAAACAAGAAACTGGGAACTGTATAACATAGTCGAATAGAGAGCATTTGACAGCATAGCGTAAACATGTTGGCATTCATGCAAGAATAGTCTAGTGGGTCGCATTTGCCAGCTTTGTCAAGGCTTTACGCATCCCTGACCCAAGCATGCGAGGCTGAATGATTGTTAAAACTCACAAACTCTTTATCTTATCATCAACTTGTTTTTTATATAGGACATTCACGACCTATATGCTGCGTTAATGGTCTCACTACCGATGGACACACACAGGCACATGTTTCGCAGTTACCCACATAGTTTTACCACGGAAGAAGCGATTAACAACCTTGGCTCGCTAAAATTCACCCAATCACATCGTAGCCAAGATGCAAGAGACCCGTTGCGAATAGTGACAACAACAACCACAACAACTTTTAGTATGACAAAAGACATGGCCAAGAGTGTGTGTCAGACTTTTATGGATGCAAAGCTATTCGAGAACGTATTAGACTCGAGCAATCGCTCATTCAAAGACAAGTGTCTATATTCACTCACTTCCAAGGGGCTCTACGTTCTCGAACATTTTATAACCAAGAATCTCATAGCTTCCAATCATTTAACGAAATTATTCGCTGCTCAAGCTGCCCCGATCAAGCTATTCTATCTCGAAAGAACCGTGGAGACCGATTCACTCGTTTTAAATAAACAAACTTTAGTGCCCATATTTAGACGGTTTGCTGGTCAACGTCCAAATCTGGTCACCAAAGAGAAAGAGAAGGAGAAGGAGAAAGAAAAAGAGAAAGACAAGGACAAAGATAAGGACACTGATTCTTCAGATACGTCATCGACCGCATCCAATGAGCGAGGTGATCGTAATCTAGGTATTGAATTGCGCGAGAAATCCAGCAATCGAACATTGCTGCTTGTTTTTCAAGGAGGAAGTGCATGTGACTGGCTCTGTGACTTTACAACAGTAGTCACACGTGAAGAAGCGGTAAAAGTATTTAATGAATTCTTACGTAATAAGCTTGTTGAACCAATTCCCGACAAGAGATCATCCGAACGAAGAGACAACGAACTTCGATACTCGAAAACGACGTTTTATAGACTCAGCGAAGAGGGTCAACGAATAGCTGGATGGGATATATTGGATATTACAACCGTCCACACCGATAACGGCAGTAATAGAAATAAACTGAAAGAGTTGTTGAGTTATGGAAATATCCGGCCGGCAATTATCAACAAGGACAAAGTCGCTGATCGAGCCACCGCTCAGTCATTGTTAGACAAAGAGAAAGTCAATACAAAACCAGTGAGGAAACACAGAAACTCGGTCAGCGCATTGCCTCAGTATAAAGAGTCGAATAACAAAAAGTTACAACAGATTTTGGAGGATCAGACGCTGAGCACGCTGTTTATGGACTTTTTAAAGTCTAAATTATGCGAAGAAAATTTATTATTCTTGCTTGACATAAAGCAGTTGAAGCAGAAATATTCACGTGATGCCAATGAAGTGGGAGAGATACAGGATCCGATGGAGAAACAGAGATTCATTGCTGATGCGTTTAGGATTTATAATACGTTTCTCGCTCCCGGATCGGCTAACGAATTGAACATTGATCACACATTGAGACAACATTACAACCAGATAATAACGACGATTGTTTCACTTGATGCGGATGCAAACACTTCAGAAGTTCCCAAATCTGTAGTCACCATTAATTTGTTCAATAAGATAGAAGACACAATTTTCCGTCTGATGGCCTCTGATTCAGTACCCAAATTTATAAGGACAGAAAGTTATATTGCTACCTTGTACGGTAGACAGAGTCACGATACGGTCAATATCAATGACGCAGATAGAACCCACAGACATACGAACTCTTTAGCTACGACAGCTCATGATTTAGCTGAGCCTATTACTGTTAGTGGCGAAGCAGTATGAAAGTAAAAAATTATTAGAACAAAAAAAAAAGATTGAAAAGCCAAAAAGAGCAGGGGAAGTTGGCGTAATGGACAGATGTAGTTAGATGCAGCAGTAGGTGAAATTGTATTTGTCTGTTAATTTTCAATTGAAATATGAGATTTTGGTTTGTCTTTTCCTTTTTTTTTTTTTTTTTTTTTTCTTTTTGGCTAAAAAGTTGGATCCTCCTTAATTGTGTCAAATATTATAATTTGTAATTTCATAGACATGTTTATAAGCAGCCAAGTTAAAAATATATACTCTAATTTTATAAATAATTTATTCACATTTCGAGTCATTCACTTTTTCTACGAAAACGAAACAAACCAAATATAATCTTAGCTCGCAGCGTGTCAAACAATCATTTTTGGGGGGGGAGTACACCAATGAAATCCGCTTGAAAGTGATCGATTAAAAAGCTTATTCTAACCTGTTAAGACAAAGTGTATACTCTTTGATATTAACGGTTAATATTTAGTCAAATTTGGGAATTTTTGTCCGTTTTACAAATGTGATCACTTTGTTAAATTAGTAATTGAATTAGATCACCATCATTATGTCATAGCTATATTTAACGCTGACGTCTGATTACGATATAATAAAAATAGTGATGCATTATTGCGCCTCTATATAGCAAGGCACTAATTCTTTTTTGGCGGTAGATAACCTAAAATGAAAGATAACGACAGTAATAGGGCGAAACGGTAATTAATTAATTCATTCAAATATAGTAATTACGGCAAGTAATATTTTGTACATCCTTAACTTTAAAAGTCTAGAAATAGAATAAGCAAAAAGATGATTCTTTTGATCTGCTCCCCACTTCCCTGTTGGATTATTCAAGCATTAATGGTCCGCTATTACTATTATTATATGAGCACATTGCTAAAGATACTTGTCAATCGCCAAACAATAGACCAGTTTCAAATGTTCTAAAGCGGGAAAACCAAGTTTAAACAATCATGTTGTACTACCCGACTTTGAAACGTTAAAAATTAATTTGCATTTTACGAGTATGTGTCTATTAATATTAAGAGATATTATGATTGATGTACGAAGATCATAGTCCAGAGTAAAACTTAAATTAATTGCATCACGATAAAGTAAACAAAAGAGTCTAATCACGTTTGATAGATTAAACGGTCTCTTATGATAAGCGCTCTCTGACATTGGTATTATAATTAGTATTCTAGACCCAAACAATCAGAAACCAATGGCGACATTTATACCGCTTTTGGTTACAGGGAGTTAATGTCGTCAACATTCTTGTCTGTTTGCTACATTACGTCCTTATTATTGCATATATGCATTGTGACATTGTCGTTATCCCCGGAATAGAAAATATCGGACCGCAATTATATGGCCCTTTAGGCGTCTGAATGGCAGTCGTTTTGGCATTGACAGATTCGGTGTTATTCGTATGAAACATATATAATTGATCTTTCCAAGTCTGTTCAAATAATACTAGTTCTCCTTAAACGCAGGCTTCACTCTAATGTCAAACGCTCTTTGAATAGACTTGTAATTCACGGTTTATTTACAGGTTTTACTCAAGAGGTTTTACTTCTCTTACAATAAATTAAATTATACAATCATATCTAGGAATGAGGATAGTGCATTAACCTATATAGTAACACCTTGCCCTTTGCATTACCTATTGCAACATATCCACTGTTTGGTGAAAACTCGAAACATTCAACGTAATCTAACGGTGTTCCGGATGTTGGCCAGTTGGAAAATACTGTTAGCGACCGTAAATGAGCCTATCGATTGAACATAATTTACGAGTTTAGTTTCTCTTTGATAAAGAGCGTCAACAATTCCAGCAAAAGAAAAAAACAAAAACAAAAACGTCTGTCTCTCCTACCAATCGGAATTGATTTTTCTTTGAGTGACTTGCCATTCCCAAAATTTGCGAGTCGTGATTGAATTTCAGATCGCAAATGTTTGTTGTTAAATTCACAAACGTCTTGCTCGGTTTGGGGTTTGAGTTTGTTAAACATGTTTTGTCATATACGTTGACAATGCCGGATTTTGATCTAGTAATAAATTTTGTAAATGAGAAACTGAAAAAAGTCTGAAAAAACGATTCTACAGAGAATCAATTGGCGCTTGGATAATTTACCCAATAGCAAAGTACTCATCCGCATTGGCCACGGCAATGTTTGTGGGCTTAAACCCGCCATCATCAACCCATTTATGTACACACTTTCTCATACCGATATCCCATTGACAAACCTCGGCATTGTTTCCTAAAGAATATATATACCTCCCATCACTACTCCAATTCATATCTCTCACTCCCGCATTCATTTTGAGATTAGTGATCCATCGTTTTGTCTTGTAGTCAACTATTATTAAACAGCCATCCTGTCCTTGAAAGACTATGAAATCGTCATTTGGAGAAATGGCAAATTTCTCAAACGATTTCTCGGGACGACCAAGAATTCCAAGCGTTTTGCTCATGTGACCCGATTCCACATCGTATACGTAGTAATATTTTCGACGGCCAGTAAGAAGAATCTGAGAACCGGCAGAATTAAAGCGGGCTTGACGAATGGGAAGATCAGAGAAGAATATCGATTGTATCTTGGGATTCGATTTGCCATCTATCTTTTTGTGCGAGAAGGGAAAAAAAGTGTTTAGGAAATAAGGTTGATGTAATGAACCTACTTCATTCCATAGTAATGATACTATGCCATCTTGTTCATGAGACTTTGATATTAACTTACTTGAAATAGCCGTAATGTTTTATCTAATCCAGCCACCATTAATACTCTTGCGTCAGGATGAAAGCAAAGAGATTGTACAACGCTCTAGTATGTATTATAAAATCACATCACTTGCTTAGTTCAAGATCCCAATAATGCCATGACAATAAACGGTTCCAAGTTCCAACCTGAGAATAGCCCATTTGATTCGCATCCTTCATTTTAGTGACCTCTATCCGACCTTGGTTCAACAATTTCGATTTTTCCTTTCGTAAATGATTAAAAGTCTCTCGTATTTCACGAGAGATTTCCTTGTCTATTCTGGTATCGAGATGTCTAGTTTCACCAATATCAAAATCGTCGGATGAAGAATCGGACGATTCATCACGCGTTTTGCGTTTCCTTGCTTCGGATGGAAGAGTTGCCCACTCAGGTTTTGGATAAATACGTTCGAATCTTGAAGATAAATAATATATGATACAGTTTGGTCAAAAATTTTTTTCAATTCGAACATTGATTTGGAAAACTTACTGTTGTCTCAAACGTTTTTCATATTGATCACCGGTTATCACATCTTCATCTTCAGCAATTTTCAGTTTACGGAACCGGGCTTTGCTATTAAGTGAAACCGTAAGAATTTCATCATCCGAATCGGTCCAAGTTTTCTTGGGGGGTTTCCCCTGTACCAATGTGCTGGATTCGGTTGAAACGTCATTTTTTGGAACATCGATATGATCCATTGGCGTTGTATCTATAAAAAAACTCTATCAACTGGTTAGTCAGTATAATTCACGAATGAGAAACAGACGAGCAGTCATGATTCGAATAAACATACAGGTTGATCTGTGGTTTCTGCTTCAATTTCTGGTTGTGTTTCGGCTGATAATACTTCTTTCTCCTTTTCACCCTCTGAATGAATGCTTGCATCAGAATCATCTGTGTGTACACGTTCGCTGAATACTAAAGATTCCAGCCTTAATTCTGTTTCGTCTTTGGGCGGTTCGATAATGTCATCCTTGCGTACAGAAATATTTGGCGACTCGTTATTCTTCTGCTTCTTCCTTCTGCTCTTTTTTGATTTTGATGTTAACAAACTTTTATCGTTCGAGGCTTTACTCGTTGTTACGGTTTTTCCTTTGGCCTTTTTTTTGTCCGATCGCATTTTACCAATCCTTTAACCAATTTTTTATTATATTAGGGTAAAGAAAAAATTTCTAAAAATCCAGATCGATCTATGGTTATGATGACCAATTACATTTGAGAACACGGGACATTCTCAACACGTGCCCGAATCAACAGAAGCAATATAATAATGATATCCTCTGATGTTTTGGGAACCGTACAAAAACAATGAACGAAGACGATGATTTGGCTTTTCCAGAGTTTGATCACTACGAGGATGATGATGATATTCCCCCACTTCCATCTCCTGTGAATTTTGACTTTGAAGCAGAAGATTGGGACGCGCCCGTAGAATCAAGGGGAGAAAATAGAGGTCCCGTTAATGTTGAGCAAGAAAAACCACATCAGACAACAGGAAGTGCAGCCAAGCCAACCAGAAAGAGGAAAAGTATCGCGAAGCTAGATGTAAACAGGTAAACAACCATTTAATGCAAATTCATTGTTATCCCACGTAACTTTCTTTAACAACGAGATTCGCCCGTGCTATTTGGACGATATCTCGTGCTTGTTGTATCTATTTCTGCCGCTACAAGACTTTTATCCGAGAAAGGCCTGTCCAAACTGCGCGAAGATGCCAAGAGATTGAAGTTTCAAGGAGTTGAACACGAAGTTGGTTAATCAGATTTTTTACATATTTCATGAATATAGCGCGCGTTTCCTAATACGTTTAATTCTAAGCAAGCGGATTTGAAGACTGTGATGAACTTTTATCGCGCCTGGATACATGATCTGTTTCCAAAAATGCAATTCAGAGATGCTATCCTGAGAGTGGAGAAAATTTGCCGCGAGAGGCGATGTGGGGTAAGTCCTCTTAGTGGAACTCTTATGTATGTAAACGCGTACTAAACTTAACCTGTAATTTTTACTGGAGTAGGTCACTCTCAGCGCTTGGAGAGAAGGGGATGATGTAATAGAGTAATAGAAGCCTAGCAAAGAGCGTTAATTATTTCTTCAACAACATAAATCTGACATTGAATTTTAGTGTCATTCACCGGGCACGGCATGAATTAAAAGATCCAAAGTACACACATTATTTTGTTATTTTCGTTTATGTCTCTCTTTAAATTTTGCACGGTTTTCGCGTTTTCAAGGACTATTACGCTTTCCATGCTGCAAGTCTATTAGTCGTAACAATTGAACGGATTTTTTCGTAGCAGGAATGTACAGTAAATTAGACATAAAAATTTCTCGTTCAAAGGTGACTTTTATGGAAACACAATATTTATTGTTCTCAAAGTATGCCAACTTGTTAAGATTGAAATGAAAACTTCTTTCGTCATGATACATAAGCAAACCCAATCCTATTGCTAAAGTTGATCGTTTCTTGATGCTAAAGAAACCAAAGAGGAAAAAGAAAAAAAAACGCCCCAGATGTCATTTCCAAAACCAGCCACATTAGTAGAGTAACACTAGAATATTCGATCATCCTTTGACACATATTCTTTGACACAAAGAAAGAATTCTGTAAAGAATGTTTGTGGGTCACTATACGTTTTCCTGGCTAGCTAAAGTCTGGGCCCCTGAAATACCGATATGGGTCTTGCTGATAGCAGTTCAGGTGGGTTTCTTGCATAACTTTATATCTTTCGAGAACATATTAAATATCTTATAATAGTTAGTCGATATTGCGTGGGTTACGTTTCTGTTCCTGCACATTGAAGAAGGTAAGCTGAAAGCAGCCATTGTGGATTAATTTTCCATTTCTGATTTATTCTTCTCTAAATTAGTTCGGTTAGAACCGGGAATCACCAGAACGTCAAGCTTGAATTTGATTTACATGCCATATACACATTCACTCCTTGGAGCAATAATGTGGAGCGTTCTTGGTGGCATCTGGTATCGATACTTTTCTGGCTACCGTGGTGGAAATAAAGCCGCTATTATAGTCGGTTTGGCTATATTGACGCACTGGTTCGAAGATCTTGTAGTACACAGAAAAGGCGAGTTCGAAATATTCTTTTAATAACGTCCTACTAACGCGGATGGCCCTCCCAACGTATCTTAATCTTGGATAACAAATTTTTTGCTTCAACAGATCTCCTTCTGCTCACATTTAATAACGACAGCCCAAAACATGGTTTCGGTCTGTGGAATTTGGCTCCGGCCTATTCCCTGATCACGGAACTGACATGTATCCTTTCCACCACATTATACTATTTATATAATACCGATCCGCAACCACATAAAATAACTGGAAAAAGGTTTTGGTCTGATTGGGGTCCGACTATATATCTGGTTGATATGGTCTTGACGGAAGCAGTAGTTACGCTAATTGAACCACCTAGTGAACTCTTGTTTAGATTTTCGTTTATTTTTCTCACAGCACAGGCAGTATATGTCGGAATCTGTATGGATTCTGTCAGAGATGTGAAGGTGAAATAACAGTGACATCGTGCAAAGGTTGTTTTACATTAAATACATTGACTATTTCTCTAAGCTTAATGACAATAGTTTATCTCTTTTGCCGTTTCATTCTTCTCTTTAAAGTCTCGAATTTTGTCCTTCGCTTTTTGATCTTGCTTGGGTCTGTCAAAAGACCATCGAACAATTCATGTCGCTTATTATTTTTGCGAGATTGTTGGATAGGTTCGTCCTAAGGATAAAAGCTTAAATTAGAGGCGGCATCCTAATACTAATTCATGACCAAAGAGCCTACATACTGCATCCTCATCCATTTCTTCATCATTAATCATTTTCTCCCGACTTTTACGACGTGCAAGGACATTTGCATCGCTCGGTCGAACGTCTTCGTGAACGTTAACCAGGTTGCTGAAATCATTCAAATTCTTACAGACGATAAAGCGTTCGGTCAGCACGTTGTTTTAAAAGACATTTAAGTTGATCATATCCTACGTCTAACATCCTACCTCAAACTCGTTCTCCAGTTCTCTTACTGTACTGGCCTTCATTCTTTTCAACTCTTTCTTCGGTAAGACAAGCCTCACAAAGTTTTCCTCTTCGTATCGTTCGCGTTCTGCTATCTTTTGCTTATCCTTATCGTCTAATTGAGCTATGCTTTCCTGACTGGCACCTATTACAGCAACTTCTTCGGGACGATCATCGTATTCTGTTATTATATCTTTCATTAAACGTGATTTCGATGCTCGAACAAGAGCACGAGCACGCTCCTTTTCGCGTTTGGAGAGTTTTCCTATTAATATCGCACATGCTTAATTCGTCTGGACCGTTGTCAGGATAGAGAAATGTATTAAAAATGTAGAAAATAAAACCTTTGTCTTCTTCAAAATGCACAGGTGCTAGTTTTGGCGCTTTGTATACGCCTTGAGAACCCTCAGTCACATCATCTAAGTAGCCGATTGTTAGTAACGCTAGCAGCAGTATAGTAAACCATATCCTTAAACACGTTTTATGTTGTAACAGCACTCACCGTTTTTGGATTCTTCCGCTCCAGCAACAAAATTATCTGGATTTGGCTTGAATGACAGTGGATCGATCACTAAAGCAAGTTATTCGATCTGATTAGTCGCAAAAACACCATTTTTTCCTAGTCACAAAAATTAACCGAAATGGCATACATGCTGTTTTTGCAGTGGCTTTTTCTGTTTCAATATTCTCCCCAAATTTAGCTGTTCGTATTAACTTATCGATTTGATACTTTAGTTTTTGTTCTATTGGCTTAATCTTCTCCAATACAACACGTAATTCGACCAGATTCATGACGACAGGATGCTCAGATAACGGTTTCCCGTCCAACTTTATATGAATTAAGAAAGCAAGATTTGTGATATACTGAAGCAGACCAATGTTTTTCACGTCAAAGAGAGAGACGCCATTGATCGTTTTCAATTGATCACTATATGTATTATTGAGTGTGAATATTGCTTAGAATTACGTTGCATGGCCAGAAGCAAAGCAGCCTTTGATTCTTACCTCTTGGTAATTTTTGATAGTTGCTGTTTAACATCATTTATTTTGCCTCTTAATTCTCTTATGTGTCTAAGAAATTCTTCAGTATCTTGCTGCATTTTTCAAGTTTTTCACGTTATGATTTTTTTCGCATTCTAAACCAGGGAACTGTGCGACCTAATCAAGTCAAATGACTTCAAAAGCATACACCTCATTTGGCAGGGGTAGAAGGGAAATTACTTCAACGTAGGGGTACCACAAACAATTAGCAGTAGCATCAACAATTAAACAGACACGTGATCATCTGTGATGGGGGCATTCCTTGGGCATAGCAAAAGTGGGTGGCAATGAACTACTAGTAATACAATAGTAACTTATTAACTCGTATGAGTCAAGAATGTTTCGAAAGGAATGATTGTCGCGTTCCAAGTGCGTATTTTTCTTCGTTAGACAACACTGTAAATATGTTAAAGACAAGTCCAGTCGCGTAAATTTATATTCTCAGCTTACGACACTTTATCTTCAAAGCTAAATATCACGAAGAAAGAATTTCAAATAAAATTGTTCAATTCCGTAGGATGATTTAGCCTTAGCGCGTTCTATAACTCTATTTATCATTCTCTTTTCAAATTCAAATTGTGAAATTATCTTTTGATACAACTGATGAATTTGTTATTAAGTTTTTTAGCCATCCAGAATATTGGGAGTTTGTAAGGTACACACCGTGCGAAAAGGGCACGTTCATCATTACGTGGCAGTGGAAGAGCGTTATTCGCCATAATTATATACTGGTCAATTGGGATTTAGATTAATATGATATTACAACATATACGATTCTGACTTATTCTCTGTCCCATTAACAATAAATCAATAAGTAAATGCTTACCATAGGGAAGGCCATAGTAAATATCCCTGCACTGAGGCATTTGTTCGCGAAGAACGTCGCTCCTGTATAAAAAAAGCCTTTAACAGAAAACAATTATTCGCATCGTCTATTACCATAATGCAATTACACACGCAAAGCTTAGAAAAGTAGTAAAACTTGTATACCAAATCCAGCAAAGTAAGCCCATCTTTCTTCAAAGTAATTTATTCGTTGTTCCAGGTTCCATCCTTTTGCCGTCCATTTATATCTGGAATGAAGAAAAAAAATATTGTCGATCAGCAACTCCAAGAACAAAGACCAACGACCCGTCAGTTGAATGTATACTCACTCGAAGCTGTAGAATGCGTATATCCAGCAAAAGAAGATGAAAGAGACCACGGGCCCAATCAGTGGTATACCATACACCAATATCGCAATAGCCACATAATTCATTACCAACAGCGCTCGATATACCTCATCTGCTATAATTCGTGGAATTCTATTGAAAAAAAGCTAACTAAGGCTCTATGAAAGCGGCAAAAACTACCCGCATCATTAATTAAGCACGCTTACTCAGTAATCATCTCACCTGAAGTAGGACAACTTCCGGACAACGGGCTGTCCATAACATAGACTGTAAGCTTTGTCTGCTATTTGTTGATACCATATTGCGTTCAGAATGAAACTGAGTAAAAATACGGGATAAATCCAGAGTAACTACAAACATGGATACATTCTGCATTAGCACAATTTCTGTCAAACACTGAACTGAACTTGTATATACACTACCTGATATGCCGATTTTACAAAGAACCCGAGTATGGCCATCACAAACAGCGAATGTTTCCCTTTTCCCTCCATTTCCAATTCTCCTTTCTCTGAACCTTTTTCTTGATAACCCAATTCCGATTTTGCTTGGAGTATATACAACATTGGTAGTATAACACGATTAAAGAATACTATGCTCCCCAGAAAAATTGCCCCGTTCAAAGTAAAGCATTTCAAGGCGCGGTTACGGATGGTGCTTGACCTATTAGCGTAGACCGTATCGTCAGCAAAAATGCTTGATATTAAGACATTCTAAGCAGGATTAAAGTTACAAATGACATTCTCGAACGTATACTCATGTCGATGAAACCCACATATATACTACGATCAAGCTCGACGGCCAGGCGAACGCGTCTTTAACGCCGCACCAGAAATACGTTACGCATAACTTTAACGTATCCGTTATACTACTTGGTATTGTTGGTTTTTGACTTGTAGCTCGTGGTTGTTGCCGAGTAGTCGTGTGTGTTTCTCGTATGCTCATTGTACAGTAAGATTAAATGAGAAAATAGATTTGGATCTTTTGAATCAGCGTCTTTATAATAATATCAACTAACCTGCGGCTTGTACAACCCTCAGTACTGGTAACTCCGTTTACTGGACAGTAAAGTTAGCTGCGGCAACAAATGGTTGATCGGATTACCACTCCGCTGCTGTGCCATAAGATGCAATTCCAAGTTAGGCCAATGAACCAAACCTTGATCTGTCAACCATCGGGTATCGTATGCATACTATTCTACGATATACAGTATTAGCGATGTAATGATGCATAAAGCATGCTTGTTATTATTCCACCGTATATTAACATATAATGACTCATCAAAATAAGAGCAGATGGAGGAGATCTTAATTGGGTTGAACAGACTGCTTAAAAAGTTTTATGGAAACGCCCGTCGAAATAAAAAAGCATAATTTGTACAATGAAAGTTATCATAAACAAAAGTCGGCTAAATACTGCATTTGTTTGAGTCGGGGTAAGCGACAAAAATGTATTCGGCGTAAACCCCATGACGAGTATGAGAATCCCAACATTTGCTCTTGGTAATACTATTTATGTGATTACGCGAGGGTCTGGTAAAAAAAAAAAGTAAGATGATGCGTCTTAATTCAGATGAATTGTCATAGTCAATAAGTATGAGCTTTACTCTTGGATCTCAATCCTTTTCGAATACTGTATGTACCAAAGAACAGATGTTACTAATCGCACTTGGAGCTGTGGGGAGGGCTACAGGACATCTTGGTTGAGTCATTGTTCGATTTACGATAAAGATATTTGACAACTCTCACTTATCCTTACTGTCTCTCGGATGTACCATCCCCAAGTTTGCTTTAATCCTCCTTATCCTAGCTATTGCATGTAATAAAAGTTTTCGTTTCGCACCTTATTTGTAAGCACATGACATTTTGATAGATTCTTGCTGCACATAACGTACCATACATCATACACGTCGTCACCACAATCTTGGAGGAATTCTTCTGTGGTATTGATAACAGTAAACCTAAAGTCCAACGGAAACAGCAGGCATAATAGAACCTATTATACCGTGTAACTGGTGTCATTAAATACTTTCGGAAGCTAAAAGGCGGAGATCCTCTTGTAGAAACTAACGCAAGATCCAATGTGTAACAAGCAAAACACGTTTAGTGGCTAAATTGATCAGAATTAATAAACTGCTCTGAGAGGAATCTGCTATACCGAAAAGCCATCTATTTAGTAAGTCGTTAATTGAGTGGTAGACAAGGATAGAAAGATTGCATCTCTGAGAAACGCGTTTAATCAATCGATAATTTGAATTCTGACTTAATAACGTTCCCAACGACCGCGCGAAACAAAGCACATGGTGGCTCTTAATAGTAAATAACCAAGAAATAAAAAATCGGGATGTTAAAATACTTCCTCAATTCATTGATGACGTATTATTATAATTTATTATTATAAAAGCAAGAACAATTTAATATTGGCGAAAACGGCACTTTTTATTATAATTGTATTAATTGCCAGTATAAATTTCTCTCCATTCATTGCTGCCATTAAAAATATATCTTGCTCAGCTCTGGAGAGAACTTAAATAACCGGAAAACGTCCTCTTGAGCAACCGCAAATAAATCGGTGCAACTAAGAGCTAGATAGTTTGTAATCAACCCTCTCCCCTTATGCTAAGGTATTATTTTGAATAAGGACAAGTCGCTCTCCTTCACCATGAACATCAAGTTTTTCCGCAACATCCCCATAGCCAGTTCCAACGCATCCCGCATTGGTTAAGAAAAAGAAGCATCATATAATAAAACAAAGCTGCCTCCTGATAGGTTATTCCATAACAACTAGCATTTGACCTCCTGCAAGTGTATTGGCACAATCAGCTTGAGCGCGAACATTGCAGTATGACAAAACTGTGCGTGTCCGCGCCGTACTTATTTACAAGCAAACAATAACAAAATATCGCTTTTCTTGTTCATTTTACCTTGGCTCATTTATGTTGCAGAATGCCCCAATTGACCTTTCAGCGTTAGGGCACCCACGGAATGTGACTTGCAAAAGACAAAGTGGCGTTATTGTGGGCGCATAATCATACAAATTCCAATTGTGGCGCATAATTATACAAAACCCAATCATGGCTTTTTGTCAAAGACCAAGTCTCCAACCCCGTAAAAACAGTCAACATGGTACTCATTAATGGAATGCTATGCAAGCGGAAGTCGCTAATACATAATTCTAACATGTTTTTGCACATAATGTATTCATAGCACGGACGGCGCCGTGTAAAATCGACTGCCGAGGCTGAACGTGCACGCAGAGAGAAAGAGGCCGTCAAGATTCAAGAATATAGACAACTTGTGGAAAATTGTTTTAGAATGGAAAGTCAATTTGCATGATAACATGCGTGCTATCTCTTGGTATTTGATGCATTGCATGCAGCGAATGATATGTTGTGGAAATGATTCAAACCATCTAATAAAACAGTTGGTTGCTGTCCACAGAGATCAAATCACGAATACACTCAGAATGCATTCGAAATAACGACAAAGATTTTGTGGCAGAATCCTGACTTTTACACAATATGGAATTTTCGAAGGAATATACTTATACATGGACTCTTAAAAGACGCGTATGGATCCCTCGTGTTCTAATTGAAATATTACGTCTGCTTTCTTTTAACCGTATTCTCTGTCATTCGCAGACCAGAAGATCAAAGGCAAGGGTTGTTGTCTGAAGAACTCGTCTTTCTTCAAGAAATTTTTCAATCAAATCCAAAGTCCTATTGGATATTTAATCATCGTCGTTGGTGTCTTGAAACTATGCCTATTCCTGACTGGAAGAAGGAGTTATATCTCGTCGAGAAAATGTTGGAGCTGGATGCAAGAAATTGTAATCATAATAATAACATTATTTATTGTTTATGTCTTAAACTTAATTACCTGACTTGCTTAATTAAACAGTTCATGGGTGGGATTATCGACGCTATGTTAAATCTAAACTTGTTAATAGTATGCAACCGAAAGAGCTCTTACAAACAGACTTGGACTTTACCAAAAAGAAGCTGGAACAGAACTTTTCCAACTACTCCGCTTGGCACCAACGGAGTAAGTTGTTGCCCCATCTCTTGTCAGATGCGAGTGAAGACGAGAGAAAAAGATTAATTGATGAAGGTAGCTCTATCCTTATATGGTATACGCTGGACAATTCACCTACTACAAGAAATTTGTTTTTCTTTTATTAGAATTTGGGATAGCCAAGTCGGCTATTTACACGGATCCTGATGATCAGAGTGCTTGGCTGTATTATTGGTGGCTGCTTGGGAGAGGTACGTGTTGTGTGCATCGAACTGGCATTGCTTAATACTCTAGTAATAAATTTAAATTTTGGGTCCCAGAACCACATCATACCTCTGTTCGTGATGATAGTATACATGAAGAGTCTTCGATGGCATTAGCGACAGTAAAAGGAGATCGATCCACCATACTAGCTGGTGAAATAGAAGAATTGAAAGAACTGCTCGAAGAAGAGTCTAACAGTAAATGTAAGATTTTATTTTGCATTACAAAATGTCTTGTGCGTTTTGTGACTTATCATATTCATCTACTTTTAACTAGGGTGTCTACAGACACTTATGCATTTTTATCAAGAACTCAAATACGCCAAGAAGTTGGACGATTCTGAATTGTACAATCTTGACAATGAAATGGAGGAGATCTGTGTCCGATTAATTAAGATTGATAGCATGAGAGCCCGTCGTTATGAGGATATACGTAATAATCTTAACTAACAAGTTTGTCTATGCTGTGAAAATTAATAGTTCTTTATCACAAGACTTTGATTCAGTAGTGTGTTTAATTCTCGTAGATTCCTTTTCAAACCGTGCATCTAATAATAGTATTTAAACAAAGTTTGAAAAATCGGCTTCTTTTTATCAACCATTCTGTCACACGTTGACTATAATCTCTACGCGAACAGTGGTATCTTAGAGGTTATAAGTTGGCAAGAATCATCATCGGATATAATGAATTTTGATCATGAACTCTTTGGAGCTTACATATCGTATCATACCAACTGAGTCGTTTTCGATTTCCGCCTGATTATGAATACCCTTGTTTATGCCTGGTATTTTAAGCTCCTAATTTGGGCTATTACTGTCTTGTACGAATAATTAATTAATTAGGTGCGAACAGGTTCAAATTTCGTTTTAAACAGTGAACGAGTTTTTTGAACCTCATTCAGTTCTCCTGGTTCGGATTTACTATTACCCTTTATTTTCGATAAAACACCAACGAGTCTGAAAGTGCGACAATGTAACATAGATTTTCACCCTTTAAACCCTTTTTAACCATTGTGCAACATTCATGTTGAACTCTATTCTCAATCTGTCTTGTTGTGTTCGCTTTGTCCGCATTAACACTAACTGATAATACGAAACACGTGAAAATAAATTCGGTGACATGTCCAAACCTTTAGCAAACGTCTAAAGATCGGACTGATAATGGCAAACTAAATAACAGACTGCGATGGCAACAGAAATAGTAATGAAAAGATTGTGAAATGAAAATATAGAGATGCAGAAGGAATCAGAGAGATATTAATAATGCCATCAATCAAAAATTCATAATATCATAAACAATGTTTCTTGTAATCTCGTGTAAATTCCAATACTAATACCTCGATGTTAAAGAACGGGTATTGGGTAGTTTTTATATTTTCATCGATTTAGAACATAACTGTGTTCGCTTAACATATAAATGATTTTCGCAGATAATGAGATTGCAACTTTACAAATAAAATTTTCATTGATCAGGAAAGACTATACACATGATAAGTTGTAGGAGATCAACTGCTTTGAACATTGACCTTGTCGCCACATTCAAGTCTGAAAATAAAATACTACATTAATAGATAAATGACCAAAAATCGCGGATGTTCTGTATGGAAAAACTCCATTTATTTCCTCTCACCAAATGTCGGCGTATCCTTGTGCCCAACTCTCCTTCCAACCGCCATTATCTGGCTTTGCCTTCACTGAATCGGAACTTTTACTACTTTTCACCGTCTTTACTTGAGACGTGAGTGCTTCATTCAGTTCTAACAACGGGCTGAGTAAAGGGTCATCTGGTGTCGACGGCGAATTTGCGGAAGCAGGACTACTTGATGAGCTGTTGGGATAGTACGAGCTTGACATATCGGTGGAATTAGACGAGTTTATGTCGACTATTAAAGCTTCAGCGCGTCTGAAGCCGCTGCCCACTAATCGAAACGTTACTTCTGCTATGTTCGGTTTCGCAGATGTATCTTTTGCCAGTTTTAGATCATCATTCCTGTATAGTCGTGGCGTATCTTGTCGTGGAATATCGTGTCGTGGCACATCTTGTCGGAGCGCACCTTGTCGTAGCGAATCTTGTCGTAGCGAATCTTGTCGTAGCGAATCTTGTCGTAGCGAATCTTGTCGTGGCGCATCTTGCCGTAGCACATCTTGTCGTAACGCATCTTGTCGTAGTGCATCTTGCCGTAGCACATCTTGTCGTAACGCATCTTGTCGTAGTGCATCTTGTCGTGGTGCCGCTTGTTGATGATTAGGTGGCTTATACTGGTAAAAAAAGAAGATTGATTTATCTATGTCATTGACTACCAAATATTTTAAAGACAAAGAATAATACCTGATTTTCATAGTGTAGCCCTAATTCCGATGGTTCTCGTGGTGCGTCATCCATCACTTCATCATCTTCACCATACATACCCCTCTGACCCTCCGAATACGTCCAATGTTTTTCAATAGGTTTTTTTGGTTCCACGATACCTAATCCAACGAGGTTCGAATAACGCCATTTTGAATGCGAAGGTGGTGCGTCATTTCCCATGACAGCGGCAGCTGTGACTCCTTGGTTAATCTTTTGAAGAATATAATTTTGTGACACGTTATTGTCGTTCATTGGCATGAGAAAAAAAAAAAAGACATATGAAACAGAAGCAGAAGCAGAATAAAAACCTCACGAGAACTCCTGTTACTATTCGATATGTTACTTTCGGGTTGCTATTGAGGATAAAGGAAGGATTTGGTATAACTTTTCCCGCCAAGGCGTGTACCACGATGTTGCAAGCGAAATAGACATAAGCAAGTTACCTTTGTTACTATAGCTGCGTTCCATGGTCGGTAGTCGTCTGCAGGCTTGTTTCTACCGTATTGGCTTCCACGTCTTTTCCACATACTAAGTTACGCGATAAGTTGCGTGCGGATAACGACAGCGTTTTAGTGTTATCAAAAAAATCATTGGATTTTCCTGCTCAAATCTTATTTAAGTGATCAAATGACTTGATAATTACCTGAAAGATGTAACTATGGTGATTAAAATTAACCAATGATATGTCGTTGTGTGAACGGCGTTAAAAGAACGAGGGCAAATATTCTGCTGACGATGTGATGATTACTTACCGAGCTTACGTGTTAATCGCTGGATTGATATTAATAAGTGCAATTGCTACATCGAAGGGGTGATTTGACGTGTATTCCTTCAACTTCCATTAAATTCTGAAACATTTCGCTTCAAATCCCGTGTCACCTATTTGAGTCCATGCATCCAATGACATCTCGATAAATTTCGGACTTTTTTCTCATAACACATGGGCTTTTGCATGAATAGCATAAGTGCATGACCTTTACACATCGCGTTTGCATTTTTGTAGATTCACATGCACCAAAATAATAACTTTATCTAATATAGTTACTGACTATGCAAACGCGCCGTAAATTTTTGAAAGCCCATCCATCGCATAACAATCGATGCATTGATTATGTGTGCGTAGGTGTTACATAACTTTAGCTCACACGCAAATTTCTTTTATGGAGCGTTCAGCACTTGGAAGAGGAATTTGAAAATAATCCATTACGATACGTTTTTAGCCACATCGCCGGTGTTTTAAATAAATTAAGGAATCGGGTTTATAAAAAATACGTTTCAATGTGCCATCGTAAAGTATATATATATATATCAATGGATATATTGATTTCAATCAATAGACCATCGTAACAGCTCTTTTTACATCACACGCCAATTAAATTGGTTTGCTACTGCTATTACTATTACCAGATCCCCGGTAAACCAGACACAGAATAAGTAAATACTTGTAAATCCCGACATTGTTGCCGCCACACACACCGAAAACATGATTCTACACTTTTTGCTTTTGGCGGTAGGTGTCTTGCTGGCACCTACTTCAAAGGCAGCCTTACAGCCAGCCAGATTTCCTTCTAATGCTCTTCATAAAGTTGATGTTGGGCTGAATAATATTGATGGAACAGTGGCCGCTTTTGCTGATTTCAACTCTGACAAGTTGTTAGTATGTTATGATATTATATATTAGATGTATCGTAAAGACGTGATCAGCTTACAAAAACCTAATGTCGTTTAGCACAGACGTACTCGTACTGAGTGCCGATCAGCAAAATATATACGTTTACGTATGGGATCATGGTAATGGTTGATTCTAATCTCTAAATTGTATGCAGAAACATGTCGCTTATCGTGTTCTTTAAACGTCATACCAACTAGCCAAAGGACAATTTATAAAATCTCCCAGCGCCACGATTGCAATTGAACCTAACGACTTTACAATAACCAACGTTCTTCCTGGCGATTTTAATTACGATGGGAATCTTGATGTACTCGTAATGGGTCCTAATACCAAGAGTACTGATGAATTGATATTGCGAGTATACCTTGGAGATGGATCGAGTCAATTCAGTGCGTAACTTTTTGTTTGCACTTTCATGTTGGAAAAGGAATTGCCTCGATGGGGGGCCACTAATACTATTCGTAAAACAGATACAACTTACTTGAAAGTACCGTCTGCTATGTCACCTCAACCTATTCCTTTTGATTTCTCTGGGAATATGACGACGGATCTTTTGGGATATCGATATGATAACAATCCCGATAAAAAATTATCACTCTGGAAGAACATTTACAACGCGGAAAGCGACGTTCTATTTGAAGTGTAAGTCGTGCTTGAAAGTTGTTCATTACAAAATCTGATAGGCTTTATTGACATTGTTGGGATTACAGATCCGATCTACCTATAGACGAAACTGCCACGCCTCCATGTAAATTAGCCGACCCCCATTCTAATGCGTTTGTAGATTTGAACGGCGATTGCTTATCAGGTATGTGAGTAAATAATTCTGTTTTATCTATCGAAACTCTACTTAAACGGCTGCCTGTCCTATCGTAGATTTATTCTTGACGTGTCAGGATGATAATGATGTAAAGTCATTTCAAATATGGATTAATGACAAGGAGAATGGGTTTGTTCTCAAAGAAGACGGCAACTTCCCTGAAGGAACTGGACAGATATCTTTTGCTGATCTCGGTAGATATACTGCATAATTCAATCTCTGTTGGCTATGTAATGGCACGATGTAGTAAGCCATATATTCATGTTATAATTCAACAGATGGGGATGGTACGATAGACATGATTTTCCCAGTGTGCAGTAAATCATCATGTGAAATACATACGGCATACAACAGACAGATACCTCTGTGTACAAATAAGAAGGATACCAACTGCAGACAGGCGGCTCAACTATGTACAGCAGATCCCAAGTTTACTTTTGATTTGAGACAAAGTTCGGATAATGATGTACGTGTATGATAATTATGGCGCACGCTTTCAGAAAATAGGAGCAAGACTTACAATTGTACTGCAAAAATTCTACTCGATGAGGTAGGCGTATGTGGTAATCAAGACAGATAGCTTGCTCGGTGGTGGCATGATTGTAACCAACGATGGCGAATTCAAAGGTGTACTACCAGTACCAATACGAATAGGTACGGACAGTTCGAGACTTAACCCTTATAGCAATTATTAACCGGGTTTTCGCGTATATGCTCAGAGTCTAATTCTTTAAAAATTAAACATTCATGTAGGCGACTATAATCTTGACGGTTATCCAGATCTTCTAGTTATTAGTTCAAAAGACGGTGATTCATATGTATCGTTGTTGCGCTCTGAACCGTGTCAGGACGGATGTCTTCCAAGCGCTCAAAGACGCACATTCGTTAAAGTTAATGAAGGAGCTGAGGATCTTGGAGCACTTAAAAACGCTAAACAAGCAGCCTTTTTCGATCTTGACGAGGATGTGAGTGTGTACTAATATGAGGGTCATTAATGGTTTGCACATGACTAAATAAGTTTTGTTTTCTTGTAGGGGACTTTAGATATCATAGTTCTTGGCTCTTCAGGATCCGGGAATGCTGCGAGAGAAGTGCACGCCATACAAAATAACTATTTTAATGACGCATTTTTTGTCAAAACACTTGGTTCGTAACAAACCTTGTTTCGCCCAGTACTTTATTCGATCTTCTCTCAGACTCTATTCTTTTTTAGTACTCAATGGTGTAGAGAAGAAACAAAATTTTGGAGTAAACTATCCTGGAGCCGCGTTCAAGTTCACAGTTCTTGACACTTCAGGAAAGAAGAGGGCAAATCAAGGTACGATTTAATACGAGAACATGTGCCTTTATAGATTTATTAACATGGTGAACCGGATCTAGTTGCCCAATATTCGCAAGCTGGTTACTTTTCGATGCAGACACCTTATTCTCTATTTGGACTCGGACGTACAAATAACTATGTTGAAGAATTGTTTGTGGGAACAACGCGAAATCAAGTTTGTATCTGGAAAAAGGAACAATGTTTGCTGCATATAAGCATTACGCCGTCAAAATTAACAAATAACTCACTTTTTACATAGACTGATCACTACAGCACCTTTTCAGGAGTAATACCAAATTCACAGTTGATAATTATTCCATATCAGCCAAACGATGTAGAAAATCCTAGCACGTATGTAGTCGCTCAAATAATGTGTATATTATTATTTCATCTAATTTGCATGTTTTTCTTTCACAGATGGACTCTTGAATTGTATATTCATCCTGGTGATTGGGTTCCTTGGGTGTTGATCACTCTGATAGCAGCTACGGTAGTACTTGCTCTAGTGGTGTTTACATTGAATTGGATGGAAAAGGTAAATTATTGCATACTGGTGTAGACCGATCGTTTCGTATTACGTTAGCGGTATTCACCTAGATCGGAAATCCACTGTGGATTGGGATCGAATTTTGCATAACGTGCACACGCGATTGTAATTATGACATTTAAGCCGGTTGATCTAACATCTTTCGTCATCTTATGTAGCGAGAGGACGAGCTGGAAAAGCGTAAGGCGTTACACGTTATAAACTTTGATGCATTGTGAATAATTTATTGGGACACCCACGGAATAGGTTCAATACAAGTATTTCTAATTATTGCGTTCGTCATTGTTAATTCATAAAAATAATAGACAGACAGTCATTTTGGTCACCAACTGCCCTTCGTTTACTTGTTTTTGTTCTAAACACCCATTGATTGTCTTTTGAGTATGCAGACACGTGTTCATGGTTGTGTAATCGTGCATATCATCAATCCTCATTCAGAAGCCTTCTAAATTCTAGATGCACATTTAATGACCAACAAGGTCGTATTAGATTTGTGACAGACACCGCCAGGAGAGAACGAAGTTATTATACAATGATATAGCAAGTTTGATGAAATCATGAACGATTTGGTTTAAGATAGTCTTTTCTTTCAAAAGACTTGCGGAGCGAAAATCCGGTTATTATGAGGTTTATTAAAACTCTTACCCATAACGAAAACGAAACATCAAAATGAAGGGGAAATTATAAGTGTACTATAATACTTTGATGCTATATACGGATAAATATGTTTCTCCTATTAAAAAGTGAGAAGATCCACTCAAACAATAGAAGCTAGAGTCTAACAAAAGACCTCTCAAAGATATATCCAGTAAAAAGCAGAGAAACGAATTAAAGGACTACAACAGGAATCACATTGCCATATTTCGTCTGCAGGCTGATTACATTGTAATCTGCCTCTACGATTACAAAATATTTACATTACACTCCATAGTAATACATATTTAGGTAACGCATTCTATATAAATACTCGTCACGCATAACAGATTCGTGTTCTCTTCTACATGGTACGCGCTAACTAACCCACAAGACGTTTTCTTATCACCAAACAAGTTCGCAGAAATGGGAGAAGCTTGTTGTCATTTATTACTATTATAATAATAAATAGACGTAATTTTATAATTTATAATTGGTTGATTTACCTCAAATAGGTTTGATCAACAAATTCGCACAGACGAGTGTCTAAATGACGTTTTCACTCGTATCTGCTCTCCGTCCGTTCAAGATTCCTCTTACGCTTTCATATCCCTTCATAAGTCACCATGCATATATAAGAGACTCATATTCAAAACAACATAAAGAATCAATTCCGATTCAACTTGCATATACAGAATATCTCCCGCGGCGCCCGCAAACATCAGAAGATTCACCGCCTGTTATTATATTGCATGGATTGTTTGGATCAAAGCAGAATTGGAAGTCACTCGCAAAGTCATTTACGCAGAGTTTGAATACAAAAGTCTACGCAGTGGTAAACCATGGAGAGATTAGATCTTGATTGAATCGGGTTGGTTGATTGAATCGGTTCATTGGCCTTTCTGTAGGATTTGAGAAATCATGGGGAAAGTCCACATTCTTCTGTTCATAAATATGAATCGATGGCTAGTGACGTGGCGGAGTTTATCGTTCAACAAAAGCTCGATAGAGCAGTACTTTTGGGCCATTCAATGTGAACATTTTATTTTATTTCTTCACGTTTCCACAGGCTTGCCCAACTCACTTTTTTATATAACTTAGGGGTGGGAAAGTAGTAATGACTCTCGCTCTTCTCCAATACCCACAAGTCTCACAAGTAATTGTAGTCGATACCGCTCCCGTAAACTTCCGTCTGTCATCCAATTTTTCATCGTACATTGCAGCAATGAAAAAGGTTGACGCGGCCAATGTTTCCAAACAAAGTTTTGCTAACGAGATTTTGGAAGAGGATATAGAGGTACGGCTAGTTAGACCTAATCGAAGGAAACATGGTCGTAATTTTGTGTAATTGTTTGCATACTCAAAGCATGTCCATTATACTTCTAAGGATGTTACAGTGAGACAGTTTTTATTAACAAACTTGACGAAAGATTCGCAAACCGGATTGTACAAGTGGAGAATACCGCTCGATACTTTAGAAAATGCGCTTAATGACTTGGGAGGATTTCCGTTTGAATCTGCTCATCACCCGTTTAAGAAAAGGGCCTTGTTTATAACTGGAACCAGATCTAATTATGTGCCGCCTAAGGTATGAGTGACAAACGAAGAGAACGATTTCTGTCACTCGTCATAAACTTTCACGTGGCATGATTTATTATAATAGGTGTACCCAACGATCAGGTCGTTTTTCCCGAATGCTGTTTTTGCAGAGCTGGATACCGGACATTGGGGTGAGTTTATATTTATGATATTCTTTGCCTTCATTTTTTCTTACTACGTTTTTGTTCTGCATACAGTACACGCAGAAAAACCACATGAATTTACCGCGATTGTATCAGATTTCATAAAAAGCAACACTGCTTCTTAAATCCTGCGGCCCGTGAACATGTTGGCGTTATCTAGATAAGAGTAATGCACATCTATAATATCTGCGGTTGTTGGCGCTGGGTTAAAACGATTTACCCTATCATTGAGAATGTGGGTCAAATTGAAGACGAACCCAAACGCTAGCAATGTAGGTTGTGTTGGCATGAAGCTGTGATGTGGCCGGTACAACTGCATGTAATGATGTAGATTATGGCGATAGCGACAATCGTGTTTAAAGCTCATAAAGCTGATAATTTACCAGATCCGAAATTTCTCCGACCGATTTGTTATTGCTGTTTAGGTTTCGACGAAAGTTTTTCCTTTTGATTGCAGTGCTTATTTCCAGAGGATACGGTATTGATCACTTGATTTATATCTGACAAAAAATTACATAGGAAAGTAGTCATTTCTTGTACTTTCTTGATTATAACACACCTAGTAAGTTGTTATTGCTTAATTTTACTCCATCCATACTGAACATGCACTATTAAACATAGTCGCTACGTAGTAAAGAGATATATCTACCTTTAAAATATTATTATCTATTACATTCCAGTCGAGAACGTCAAACGATAATTTTATAAGATGACGCGTCGAGACATAATAGTTCCAATATTTTGATACAATTTACTTCCAATGAAACTCATATTAACCGCCACTAAATCCTCATCAACTTTTCCTAATTCTACCTCTAAATTTGATAAGCTGAAATCTGATAAGGGAGGTAATTGACGAGAACTTCTCGGGTTTAGGCAGACCTCCAGTAGGTAAGGGTGTACTAGAATGTTTAGTCTCCTTCTCGAGACGTGATAACATTATGATGCGCTGCTGTCAGACTTAGCATTGCGCACGATTTTACTAAGCGCATACATATGATCCTCAAGTTCCTTTGCAACAGGACGCTTATCAGGATGACACTGCTCGTCAGTTTTCTTGCATTCCTCTGGCGCGGAATCAGGCATTAACCATCCATAATATGGCATATTAAATCTCTATTGAATTGTCTATCTCTGAAAGGTGGTTCTCAGTAGCAATCACATGAGCTTAAACTGGGCTTTGGCGGGTACCTTTTGAATATAAGTTCCTCGCGATAGTTACATTGCACGTGTTTAATTATGGCATTCAAAGATTATCTCCCTGAGGCAAGCGTGCTAATATTTCTCTTCGTTATTCTTGTCAAGCTAAAGCAGTATATAACTCAAAATATTGTAAGTTTACTATTGGAAGTTTAAAGATACAAGAGCCAGTTCATTAATTATATCTTTTTCTTTTACAAAATAAAATGAGTTAAACCGTTCACGTTATATTAGCAGACAGTTCATTATAATATCGAACATGATCGGGTAAAATGGTTTTATTTATTATTTAATGATAATAATAATAATTACTGGTAATTTAATTACAGATTAAAATCTGACTAATGCTAACGAATCCCACAACACTGAATTTAAGGAAAAATAAAATTGGCTGTACCAGAACGTTATAGAAACATATTAATATATACTCTGTAATCGTCTCCCATGCAATACTTTCTGTTGTTGTGATCAATTCTTGGTTGCCTTACAAAATTGATTTTACAAATGAAAAAGTAGACTGTGACTTCGATCATACAATTGTTGTCAGTTATGAACTGAGACAACTGAGTTCTGGACTGCCCAAGTTTAGTTTATTATTAAAAAAGTAAACTCCACCCAAAAAACAAGCAGACTACAATGTCAATTGGATCGCTAAAAGACGTATAACATCGAACGTTATTGTAACCAATATTGATAGCCCGTTAAAAACTCATTTATCTCATCATCCAATTAACATCTGAAAAGACAGCAAACGCATTCTCCTTGCTAATTGCATAATTGGTCAATGTTATAAATTTGTAAAAATGGTAGAGAATTGTATCCGTATGCTGGCTTAGCGAGCTCCGTGTTGGGCCGAGTTTTGTATTCATGGTTACGCTGCACATTGTGTGCCATAAACGGTAAGGTTTCCTCATATAGTAATAGTAGTAGTCAATCCTCAACGTGCTGTTGTGCCAGCCCAAAGTTTGTACCTCAGCTGGTCTCAATACTAATACTCAATTTTCCAGAGAAAGGTTTTGAATAGCGTAAACTCGGGACTGAGTTCTGGACTGGATGATTGGGTTCTGGACTGATACAGGTCTCGAACTTCAGAGACAACAGCTGTCCTTTCAATGATCAAAATTTTGACATAGTAATAGTCGATAGTGTAACCAAATGTACAAATGTTTATTGTGGACTAAAACTTTTGTTAAAAATATAGCCAATTCGCATCTTATGGATGTATACAAATATTTTCATCAAAGAATACATTATTTGGATTTCCAATAATCCTAGACTAATAAAATATTCAACTATAATAAAAGCAATAACACACCAATATAGTTGTAAAGTACAAAAACAATAAAATAAAATAAAAACAGAAAGCAAAACAAAACCTCATCCTTGGTACCCGTACTAATACTCAAATAATAATAATAATAATAATAATAATACATCTTTATACTTATGGAACGGAAACGACAAACCTTGTTTGCGTTCCTTTATTACTCATCTCCCATCTCTCAGCTTCTTTATCTCTTTTCAATGTCCTCACAATATTCTCCAACTTCTTCTTTTCCTCTCGCTCACGATGCAATAATGCTTGCTGTTCACTTCTCAAATCGGCCATCATTTTTCTAAATTCTTTTCTTAATGTAGCGGTCGTCGGAAGATCCTTTCCTACAATACCGAGATGTTTGATTCTCTCGTCCGCTAATTCATTTTCTAATCGCTCACAATTCTTCTGCAAGACATCAACTGCTCCCTCAAGCTTCTGTCGCTCACCATCAAAGTCAATGAAATTCTTTGTCAATCGATCAAATTCACGAAGAATTCCATCGTATTCTGTCTGTAATTTCTCGCTACATTGATCAAATTTCTGTTCTTGGAGGGCAAACTGATCCTCTGCACCAGCTAATATGTTCTCTAACCTTCTTATCTGCTGCAACAAGGATGATTTCTCGGCTTCGAGGTTTTCCCTCACGGATCTTAAATGCGTTATTTCGGCCTCGGCTTCCTCGAATTGAGCTTTAAGTTTCGCTGTCTCACCGTCAGCATTTAAACGATTAAACCGGGCCAAACCATCAGTAGCTGCTTTGAGTTCGGCAAGCTCAGTTTTGAAGCGGACGATGTCACTCTCAAGATGGTTTATCGTTACTTCGCGCCGATCAAGAGTACGAGACTTTGTACTGAGCATTTCCTCGAGCTCCTTGACGACCTGTGAAGCCTTGTCCCGTTCACTCGTAATATTAGTAATGTCTTGTCTCAATCTCGAAATGATTCCATCCCGCTCTTTTATTTGGGCTTCATACTCTTGTGCTTGAGCTTCTATTTGTTGTTGGAGTTCCTCATGCTTGGACCGACCATCATTTATAACTTGAATTATACTCTGGCGTTTGAGGGTGGCTTCATATTTGCGTACCTTTTCTTTTGCCTCGGTAAATTGCTGTTGAACTTCAAGAAGTTTTTGTTGGAGGGCCGACTCTTTTTCAGACGATGAGCTCACGGCAAATTTTGCTTCTTTTGCACGTATTTCGGCATCTTGCAAGCGTTCCTTGGTATCTTCTAACTCGCGCTGTGTTTCTTCTAATAGTTGTTTTGCATCAGTATATTCATTAGCTTTGTCAAGCTGAGACTGCAACATCTCTGATTGAGTCTGAAGCATTGTGATAGAGTCCATAAGCCGCTTGTTTTCATCCTTAAGATTACGTATTCTGGAAAAGAAGACGTCTATGCTAAAGCTAGTTCGAACTTTTCCGGTAGATAAGTCATCAAACACTCCCCGAAGCGAATTCAACAACTTCTCATAATCCTGGTTCACTTGAGCAAGTTGCGATTCTAGTTCTTGTCGTTGTTGAGAAGCCATTAATCTGTCTTCATTAACTGCGTCTAATTCACGAATCCGTTCTTCCAGATCCTCAGCCTGCCTAGCCTTGATTTCTAATTCAGCTAACCGCCTCTCTGACGCCTCTCTAGCTTGTTGCTGTTCTTGCAATGCTTCCGTTAACATATCACGTTCTTGAACGAGGTTTGAGAGACTTGACTCTATTGACCTAGTATCTCCTTCTGCATTCTGTTTAACCGTAGCCATCTCTTGTTCCACACGATATAACTTGAACTGATAATTTCCAAGAATTTTCTCCAACGTTTTGAGGTTCTTCGATATGTTTTTATACTGTTCATTCTGTATATTTTGAGTCATTGTGGATAAGCGATTATATGACGATCCAGAATCCGATTCATCCCCATCCTCTTCATCGGTAGTAGACGAAGCCGTGTCTCTTTGTGCCTGTTTGTGCTGACGAAGTACCATATCTAAACTCCTAGAAACTTCTTCAAGTTCAGTGCGCAATTCTACAATGGTGCGCTCTCTGGCTTCTGAACTGCTATCATCAAATTTGCTTTTTAACTCTTCGATTTCCTTGTCTTTCCTTTTTATTGAAATCCTTGCCTCTCCGAGTGTTTTGTGTGCTCGTTGTAGATTAGCTTCCAAGCTTGATACTTTACTTGCCAAATTAGGGTCAATTCTAGCCTCAAGCCCCATCAATTCATTATAGAGATGGTCTATGCCATTGTTTACTGACCCCAATTGATGCTCATATAAAGAAGGCTTTGCATGTTCTTGTTGTCGTTGATGTTGCAGCTGTAGTTGTTTTTCTTCTAGCTTCCGCACTCCTAAACACATTATACCAGCCATATGTTGAAGCAATTTGCGCTGAATTTCGCCCGCGCGTTGGGTAAGTTTCCATAGCTCAGAGGCTACATGATCCACTTTACGATTCGCCTGAGCGAGATGATCATTTGCCTGGCGGGAGAGACGTTTGTTCGATGCATGTAAACGGGAAAGCGAATTAGCAGCTTCGCGAATTTTGGTTTCAAGTGAGAGTTTATTATTTAAAGCTGCTATACGAGTTCTAAGCAAAGCGTGGTCCTGGAAGAGTCAATTAATAAAATGTGTGAGCAGGATGAAGTATGGAGAGATCGTTCATTGTAACATTTTCTTTCCCGGTATTAATGCTATTATCGTTACTTAGCCTATATTGCAATAAACAAACCTTCTTCAATTCTTCAACTTCGTCTATTGACAAAATCTCAAAGTCTCTCGCATCGACGACTGCCTGACTGATCAATAATTGTATCAGCATATCGTCGGCGGTGTCCATTAATGAAGTACTAGTGCTCTTTGGTGTTGGCGTCTGAAGCATTGCCTCTGACGACGCCAACAGATCACCTGCAATTGCAAGCGAAGGTAACTTCATTCGTGGCGATAGCGGGGGTGATGTAGTGTCGATTGGTGATGCAGAAGAATTGGTAAGATCCGACGGCCTCCTTCTTGATATTGGCATCACGCTTTCAGCCTCCTCAAGTGCTTTGACGGTAGTGGAAGACGTATCTATTGACAATCTTTCCGACCCTATAGGTAATTGAGGGTTAGCGTCTGTTGCTGTCGGTAGTATTTGAATTGTTGATGTGACAGGTACTATTGTTGTTTGAATTGAGCTGGACGTGGAAACTTGGCCCGAGTTGCGGAGTGGAGATTTTGTAGGAGTGCGTGGCTTCTGGGAGAGGAAAGCGAGGTCAGATCTTTTTGTGGGGTATACTCCAGGACTAACTGGAACGTCATCGTCTATTGGACGCTCGACTGGACGATCAAGAGCAGGACGCTCGACCGGCTTTCGTTTTGTATAGGTCGCCTTTGTTGCGGACATTGAAAATCGTTATTAAGTTATTAGAATTAATGTTGAGAAGTTAGTGATGTCTTTGATGGCTTATTAATGTATGGAGATTCGCCGCGTTCCTTTGTTAGTTGGAAGTGGTGCATTAGCGAGTGGATGGGTGATTAACAGAGCACGTAGTTATCGGAAAAGAGAAGGGATATGTTGCCGGTATATTAACGACTTTTTTGTAAGAATAATAATAGGTAAATGTCCGCTTCCGGCTGTAACCTGTTTGACATCGACAATACTCTAACAAAGTTTTATGTTACACAATGTAACTGGGAAGGCTCATGGCTTGCACAAAGCATTAATAGAGACAGATGTTCGCCTCGTGATTGCTAAATTCTACCTTATCGATAGCTTTTACTGAAGCGTGTAGTATTTTAACGTCGTCCCGTGAATTTTTATATTGCAAGTAATAAAGGTTTAAATTCAACTGATTAAGTTAGCAATAATTTATTTGCCCGTAGTACATGTTGCGGGTAGCCTTTGGCATGCAATCGCATAGGTGTCCAAATGCACTTAATGCCAGTACAGGAGTGACGTTACAGCTGGTCCATGTGGCATAGAAGTTAAAGTCGCTGGTTTTGGGATAGTATTGGTAAAAAAACGGGATTTAGCACGCCATTCGGAGAAGTATCAATTGAATAATGGAGAAAAGCCCAATCGGAATTGTATACAATTTCCGTGACCAATTTTACAAGCGCGGAGACCTTTGGTACGGCTGTACATAATAAAAATAAAAAATTTATTTCATATATTAAAAAGCACCCAAGCGTAAAAATGCGCCCGCAAAACGACAGGATGATGAGCCAGAAAACTCTTTGGTTGTTGAAACAGTTAATATTAAGCAATAGTACGAGATTGGATAAATTAATAAATACATTATCTTGTGTTAACCGTTGCAATCTATCCGCCCTCAAACCGTTTGTCTATCTTTCTATTTATTTATTTATTTGAATAGAAGCAACATGAATTCGTTAGCAACCCACAAAAATAATAACTGATCTGATTCATAACGTATTTCTTGACAATAAAGTTGACGCTAGTTTAAACCTTTTAAGTTATTTTGGTGAGGTTTTGAACAAAATCTTTTGATATTAGACCATTTATTTGCAATGCAGCTTGCTTGTCAGGATCAACCATATAATGTCTTATGAAAGTCATACGAACAAACTATTATAGAACTGTGCAGTTTAAAAAAAAGCACCCATCCGATACTTGGCGAACAATACCAACGTTACAATTACAGTTTTATTTCAGCAAATGATTTAGTATACCTCCTTTTTAGCCAGCGAAAAAGTAATATGAAGAAGAAAACGAGTATTAGAAATCAAGCAGGAAATCTTATAAATTTTGTATAGCGATGAGAATTAAATTCTATTTGTTACATGATTGTAATTGGAACCGGTATAACATGCTTATTATTGTTGTTGCTGCGCACTATCACTCATTACCCCTTAATTGCCACTGTTATACGTGTATACAACATCATAATATCAAGTATTGGTATACTATTAGTCTTATTCAACTAATATGAAGCATCGATTTTATTAACGCTGATAAGAGTATTTTTGTTTCAATTTTCCCATCATTGCACGCTTACAGTATGAACGACCCATGACGTATAAAACCACCGATTATTATCTTCAAAAGTGTCCAAATCTTATAGTACCATAGAACTTCGGGAACATCCTTATATTAGTATTTGTCATACGGTTTATAAATCATTCCTATTACTATATTATATATGTATATTCAATTCATTTTCGTAACATGATCGGGTTAAAATGAAACTTGGGTCCTTTTTTCACCTGTTAATAAATGTCATTTTAAATTTTATCCCGAATCCCCAAAAAAGTGTCTTAAAATTTTTTTGAAACTTCATTTATTTTAATCTGTCATATTTATATTAAAAAAGGTCGATGATTTGTGGATGAAAATAATTATTTCGGAAGAAACCGCCATGCTGTTCTTAACTGTCCAATCATGAATTTTATCAAGAACTTCACATCAGCAAGAAAGCTCAACGTTTGCGATAATAATAATAAACACTTGTACTGACTAAAACTGCATAGAATTTCTAATTTTTATATCCAGATTGATGGCTGGGTTGCAGGCATGTTTACCGGTCTCTGATGCCACTGTAATGACTTGATTAATTGCGGAGACGTATTAAATACCGCTATTATTGTATTTTTGCTCTGTTCACTGACATTAAATAAAATAATTTACCAAGTGATACAAACTATCAAGACGGTTGTTTGTAAAACCGGCGAAGAAGAAAACTTTAATGTGTTGTTAATTTGTTTGCATTAACTTTCTCCCGAAACTGATTTTCTGATCAACAGTTGGATTTAATACTATATTTGTTCCATTGTAGTTCGATATATTAATGTAATTTCAAAAATTAAAGTTTTTCTTAGAACACAGACGAACATTACGTTTAGCATGCAAGTTGAGTTTAAATAGATATCTGCAATAAAAGCATCCTTTCGTTGATTTTCTTTTCATTCCACAAAAAATGTCCTCCAAGTAGATCAGATTACATGTTCAATGGCATCGATGTCTCCAGGCATTAGGCGCTAGAAAGACTGAGATGCATTATCTTCTCAATTCCAAATTCTATGATTAGAGCAATTTATTCCATAATAATAAGGTTACAATCAATACACACGCGCAGATGACATATGAAGCTCGAATATTCTCAATGTACGCATAATAATACAATAAACAAATAAACAAGCTTGCGATTGTTTCCATCACTAATAGAAATTGCCCAACTTGCAACCGGTGACTTAAATGTACAGGATTGCAGTGTAGCTGAGCCAAGTTTCATATGACAGTTCATGACAGGACTTTGCAAGTGAGTTAGTTAGACATTGCAAATTCAATGCCTAGACGCACGTTGAAGAAGCATCAGGACAACAATGACAGGCAAGTGTCTGTAACTGACTCTGCAAGTTGGCAAAGACATTTAAATGTTATTTCTATTTATATACAGAAATCTCTTCACAAAGCTGCTCAAGACGTACTTAATACAAGGCTTGACTATTCCAAAACTATGAAGCAAATTTATTATCAGCATATTCAGCTTTATCAGACAATGATATCATTGACTTGTGGCTGAAATTACAGTATGGCAGCAATTATCTCCAGACATAA